TACCCAGTAGATGTGAGGAGCAATCCCTGCCCAGCTGTGACAAACAAAAATGTCTCTAGACATTGCCAAATGTCCCCTGGGATGTAAAAATCCTCCTCTCCCCCAGCATTGAGAGTATCTAATCCAGGATAATACGGTGCTGGATGAAATGGAGCCCTGGTGGTGAAGGACTAAGGGCTCGGCTGCTAACCAAAAGGTCAGCAGTTCAAATCCACCAGTCGCTCCTTGGAAACCCTATGGGGGCAGTTCTACTCTGTCCTATAGGGTTGCTATGAGTTGGAATGAATTCGACGGCAATGGCTTTTTTCATTTTTTTGTGATGAAATAAGACTCACTTCTGAAGCCTCAAGACAGGCTAAATCAGTCAGTCATTGCACATTTACTATCATGAGTGCAACCAAGAGTGGTGGGTTGGATGTTTGTAGTTTCTTTGAGGGCCATCTCATACTACCTACAACAGCAAAGCAAATATCTTTTTTAAGTCACAATAACTTTTTCAGTAAGTGAATACACTCCTCTCTAGGTATCAAAAGAAGGCAGGAAAAATGAACGTTAAATAAGACTAATATAAAAGTTAAATAAGACCAAAATAAAATGGCAAATAAGTCTGTGTCGGAGGTCATTCACGTAGTCAGCAAACATTTATTGAGAGTCTCCTTTGTGCTAGGTACTAGGGATACCAAACCAGTCGCTGGGGTTTTCAAATATAAACAGCACTCCAATTTAAATGTCAAGGCCCAATTATTTTCGGAAAAGTAAGAGTAGACCTGCTACTTCACTTGAGCCGAAGCACTAATAAGGCAGACTGCTAGCTGTCTATCAGAATCCATTTCTACCCTCCTGGACTGCATGTCTTTGTGACATTTTCTAGCCTCCCCCAGTTATCCTTGGTCATGTGACACAAGATTTTTGCCAACAGAATGTGAGTGGAAGTGATGTGGGCTATCTCTCTTTTTTTCTTCTAGATGCAGATATTGGGGCTCAGAGAAATTAAGCAGCTTGTTCAAGGTCGCATAGCTAGTGAGTGGTAGAATTGCTATTAGTGTCTAGGCCTGACCTGGTCTTAAAACAGGTTGCTATAACAACACCTGGGTAGCTCTGTGTACAAGATTTTCAAAACTGACAGAAAGGGAAGGGAAAATTTCAAAAGGACTGAGAAAGAAAACTCCTGAAAGTGGAGATTAAAATAATTGGGATGGTTAAGAGCAAATGCAACTTTTCCCAGGATGCCTCTGACAAAACTCTGCAAAATCAAGATCCCATCTGCTCTTGGAAAATTTATGTCCTCTTAATAGGCACTGGCAAATTTCAAAATTCCTCTCCTGCCTTTTGGAGAGCTGGGTGCACTGAATTCTGACACATTTGTCAACTGTATCTGGTGACCTCACCATTTTGGTGGAATTTCAAAGAACATTAACTTAATTATTTAAAAACATACTTCCAAGTTTCTTCCTTAATAACTTAACCTTCTGTTTGCAATTGTTTTAGAAAAATGCCTAGAATTAGAAATGGCCAAATAACTGTTTTCACAGACATTATTTTATTCTATTCATAGTGACCTCAATAGCCTTCTCCCCAAACAACCACAACACAGTATCACCAAAACTACAAGACAACAAACAACTCTCCTCCCACAACTTGGATAACACTGTACTGTTAACCCTTTCCAGGGATGAGGGGGAAATCGCACATCAACACGAGTGGACGACCACAGGTGCTAGTACAGAACTTGGATTTTGGGACATTAGCAAATACGTAGTTGCAACCACTATTAGTTACACCAGAAGCAATATTCATTTTTTTACACTTCGAGAAAAAATAATCTCTAGGATGTACCCTTTCACCCTAATATAACTTCTACTTATTTTCAAATATAAAAATATTCAGGACTATACTGACATATCCTAAAAGAAGAGGGTATTCAAAAAGTTTGCACCAACATGGGAGCAATGAAATTCCACACTGGGTACCGGAAATAAGGCATAATTAGCAGAGGTGGGGAATGCGCTTCAAAGGGAGGCCGGGACGCAGAGGGGGATGCGAGGTGGAGCCTCGGAAAGCTGCTCAGAGCCGGCGATGGCTCCCGCCGGCTGCCCGCAGTTCTGGTTTGTGCATCACTCGCTGCGGGTCTCTCTTACCTCGCAGACCGCGAGCCAGCCTCTTGGCCCAGGCCACTCGGGGCGGCTGCCCGTCCATGGGGAGGTGGCGATGCAGCGGGTCCCCGCCGCCGTCCGGGCTGGGGCACGGCGGGCCCTGGTCCTCTCGCCGGCGCCGCCTCC